ATATATATATAATATTAAATATATGTATTTTTATATTTTATAATATTCTATAGTATTCTTAAAAATCCTTAGATAAATATAAGAATTTAATATTAAATAATATTCTTGATAATGATTAAAAAATTGTACTTGTAATTGTACCTTATTCTTTTTCAAGAATTTTTTATATCGTTTTTTCCATTTATCTTTGATATCTATAATATTATGCTGTAATTTATATTTCTTTTTAAATATTTGAAGTTTTTTATATACATTTTTATATATATATTTTTTGTATTGATATATACATTTATTAAAATGAATTAATATAATTGATTAATTAAATAAGAATTACAACCTGCAATATATGCACTCCACGTTGTGTAAGAACAATAAGTTCTTTCATTCCATCATTGGTAATATCCATATAACATATAGAATGTACTGGAGCATCAAATAATTTTCTGATTATCAATTCCCATGTATTATTTATGAAATAAAAGATAAGAACTTCTTGACCATAAGTTCCCAGTAGTATTTCATTCTGACCATCCATATTTATATCAGCAACACAAGAACATAAAATGCAATCAGTTGTTTCACTACCATTTAATATTATATCTTCATTCATTCCATTACTTAGAATATCCCTAGTTATGGAAAATATATAATATATATGTTTGTGATTATACATCACATAAAATAATTATACTTACATGAAAACAATTGCATTATTTGTATTTACAATAAGAACATTCAATTTATTTTCTTGATCATTTAAAAACATTTTGGAATCTATAATAAATAAAAATATTTGACATTAACTTGAATTATAATCAAATTATAATTAGATTATATATATATACACTTATAATTATTAATTTTATATATATATATTTAATATAATAAAATTTACTTTTAGAGTTAACAAAAGAAGGTTTTCCTATATTATTTTGTAGCGGAAAAATAGATACACTACAGATAGGTTTGTCATATCTTAATTTCCAACTTTGGCAAATTTTTAATTCCGGAATATTAATTATAGCTACATTGACTAAACCACATTCACAACCAATTACTGTCAATCTCCTAAAAAAATTAAAGATAAATATGAGTTATTATAATATAATATATAAAAATATAAAATCATACCAATTATAACTATCATAATAATAAATATTAATCCATATTGCAATTCCTTGAATATCATACAATTCAGGAAAATATTTTTCAATAGATGATTCACTATAACTGTGATTTAATTTATCTTCTCTGATCATATGTATTTTATAATCACTACCAGAGAGTAGCCAAACAACCTAAAATCTTAGAAATAGTTAAAATGTTGCTATAAATTTATAAAATAATAAATATCATTTTTGTTTAAATATTATATATCATATTTTATTCTCTAATTAAAAAAAATATTTTTAATATAAAAAAGTTACCTCATTAGAAGCATTTTGTTGTGGTAATATTGTATGATATAAATGATATGGTGTATATGATAATTCAACCATAAGGCAATTTTGTGCTATAGCTTCAATTGAACTTCCTTCATCTCCTTCTCCATCTATAGCACCTTCTGTATATATATTTAAATATCTTTCTACAGATGTATCTGTACTTGCTTTTAAAATAGTTATTCCTATTACAAATCCATCGCCACTATCGATTTTATTATAAGCATCAATAGATATAATTTCTGCACCACCTAATGTATAAATATTGCATTTAATTAAATATAAAAAAGATTAACTTTCAAGTAATATGTTAATATTTAAGATTACAAACTAGGAATGTATGTAAAAAGTAATTCTTTAACCAATGGCCTTAAATGTAGATTTGGCATTAAATGATATTCACAGGAATATATTTTCCTTTTTAGAGAAGCTACTAATACTTTATTAGAACCATTGGCAGAACACAATTTTGTCATTGAATAAATGTTTCCTTGTGATGTTAGAGGAAACCAATGTGCGTCTGTTAAATTATTCATATTATTGTTTTTATATAAAAAGTATTAATAAGCACAATAATTATTTTGCATGAATTATTTAATTAACTTTTTACTATTTACAGAAAATAAATAATATTGTATAATTTTTTTTTATTATAAACTTATTTTTGAATTTTAAGGTTAGAAATATAAAATTAATTTTATTTATCACGATAAATCACTGATTTTATAAAATCATAAAATGTTTTATGTTAAACTTTAATTTTTTAAAATTGTCTACTTAAAAACAAATATTATTTTAAATAAACAATACATTAGATATAAATGATGTCTTATTAATATACATATGAATGTATATATATTTATTTAGTATATAATTTTATTCTTATATTATATTTTTATTTTTATATATGATTGCATTATTTGAAGAAATTGAATATATTATATACAAACTTAATGGATTTTTATAAATAAATATTTTAAATTAAAGCTTATACAGAATTAATCTGAAATAAGGATAGATTTCATTTTAGAATCATTTCCAATGTTATCGATTCAGCATAATACTATATTAATCTAGGATAACTAGAGTTATAAACATATATACAAAATAATATTGATAATGATATATATATATATATATATATATATAGAATAATATATATATAAGAATATATATATATTCTTTTTTATATTTATTTGGCATATATATATAGAAATATATCAAAAATTAAAATCAGTATTATTTCTAAAATAAAGCATATATAAAAATGACAAAAAATAATAAGAGAAAAATAGAAATATAGTAAAAATTAATCGTTAGCATTATTTTTAAGTTAGTGTGTTAACGTTTTTTCAAAAGTAGAATAAGAATTGGGGAATAACACCATTTCTTAACTATTTTTATGCTATTTTTAAAGAAGTATCTTAATAAGGTAAACATATTAATCACATTTTTTTTATATTAAAATATATGGTTATAATTTTTAATTAATAAATAATTCATTATTATCAATTCAAAATTATTAATAATCATAGATCACTAGAGCTAAAATAACATGATAATATAATATATATACATATATATCAATTATATTTCAATTATATGATGTAATAAAAAAGAATTTTATCAACTTAAATGATATAATTGATTATAATTAAATTTCAGAATTAATTTCAACACATATCAAATATAAAAAGTTATAGAAAATTACTCTTACAATGTTATTAAGATTAAAAATAAAAAATATATTTATGGAATATATTATTTACATTATTTTTAATAATCAATTTTCAAATATTTATATTTAATTATTATGAATTAAAAAAATAGGTAAAGAATTATATTAAATTAATATTTAAATTTTATATTAAGAAAAATTTTAAAAATATGATGAAAAATAAAAAATGATAATAAATTTTACAGTATAATATATAGTATATATAGTATAAGTATAGAAATAGCATTAAATCTAGCCTAAAAAATATATTTTGATTATAAGATAATTAAAAAATTAAAATTAAAATCACATGTATATATTTTTATAAAGATGCAAATTATTTTGTTTAAAAGAAATTACGTATGTAAAAATTAATTAATAGTTTGAAAATTATAAAATTACATTAATATATTTTTTTTCTTTTAATAATCATCGCAGAATTTAATTCTTGATCACTTAAATTCACACAAAAATTTGTTTTGTAATAAATTATAAAATATAATTTAAATATATATATCAACATTTTTTATAATTATCATAAATACATATTACATACTTCACAATAATTGCTCTAATTAATGATAGATTTTATAAAATTAATAACATATTGTACTTACATTAGTAATCATATTTTTCTTTATATCAGGACATTTACTGAAATCCAATATTAGATTCAATTGTGTCTAATCGAACGATTGATTTGAATTCTGCGGTGTCATTTAAATTAATATAAAGGTGGACATATGTGAATATAAAAGATATTTCTGTCTAATGTTTAGTTTTGTTTCAAAATTTTTTCATATAATATATTATATATAATTAATTCCTTTTCATATTATTAAATTATCAAATAATATTACAATATGTTGAAAATAATTAAATATTTTTGTACTTCCTATTATAACAAACTTGCTAAGCTGATCATTTTGTTTAATTTTATTATAGAGATATAATTGAAATTAATAATGAAAATCTCCTTACATATTTTTTATAACGATAAAAACATGATTAATACAATTTTCATTTGAAAAGTTTAATAAATAATCAGATGTTAACATTGTTATGGTATATGAAATGCACAATAATGAATTGGGGAACGCTTTCGTACAGGGATCATGCAAAAACTACTAGAATTCATTTATCAAACGTGTATATGTACATATATGTATATACATATACATAATATATATATATTTTTTACTTTTTTTTTTATTAAACACAGAATCACAGAGCAAACTGGACATATCGGAGGGGAGATTTACATACTCTAGCTGATTTTTCTGGTACGATATATAGGGCTCACCTCGACATTTTTTATATATATATATTATATGTATATATATACATATATAATACATGTATATAATATATACATATATATATTCTTTACGTTTCATTACTATACAAAATATTCTTACTGTTAAAAAATCAGCTGCAATTTTTAGTAAAAAACATACGAAATTGAAGAGGATGAGCCCACATGGAACGATCGCGGCCCGCTCAGTATTCGCAGAGAAGATTTTATTAGTGGAAGTAATTAAATTTTATTTACAAATCAAGGCAATGTCGTTAATTATGTTTGTTTTTTTTACATGTACGCATTTTTCATTTTAATTTTTTTCTCTTTTTCTCTTTCTTGTTCATTTGTTTTTAGTCACATGTCATATTAATATTCTATACTGACGATATATCTTAATAATTTCATTCCATTTATAATGGTTTTTTGTACATTGTATATATAAAATAATAATAATAATAATAATAATAATAATAATAATAATAATAATAATAATAATAATAATAATAATAATAATAAATAATAATATAATAATA